GCTTCCGTCGTTGTCGACTCGACGAGGCGAGTTTCTCGAACTTTGATCGCAACTGATCCTTCGGAGTTGAAATTATCGCGAAAAATTTCTACTAGCAAACAATCCTCTGCCGATTTAGATTTTTAGAAGTTGTTCGACCACTGCCTAGTCGAGGACTTTTTTTTGGCTGGAAAAAAATGTCAGAGTGGTCGCTTTATCGGCGAAATGCAATTTCGCGACGATCGACGATCGCTTAATCCGCGAAGGGAAGAAATTGAACGTTAAAGGGGGAGAGAGCGGCCATTGAATTTCGCGAGCTGATGACGATTTTCATCCCCCTCGATGAGCGTCGCGATAGGGGAGAGCTATTCATCCACCGTGGGGTGGAAACGAGACGCTAATAAAGCATCATCCGAGAAAGCGAAAGAAATAAAGAACCTGGTCGGACAAATGGAATAGGAGGAGATACTAGAAGATACCTCGATAATGGATCCTTCCTCTGGCCGTCCAAGCGTTCTTCGATATTCCGGTGATATTCGAGTTTCGCCATATTGTTGTACGAGTGGCTCTGTGACTAGTTGGTCGCGGTGACGCGCGTTCGTTTCATTTCCCGGTACTCTCCTCGAAAGTAAGAACTTTCCATCGCTTGATGAGAAAACAGCCGGCGCCCGGGTCAAAAGGAGACAGACGGGTCATTGCATCGAAACTTCCACACCGTGGAAGAAGAAGAAGAAGAAGAAGAAGAAGAAACACGGAGAAAAGAATTGTGTTCCAGGAGAGCTGCACACGCTCCGCTCGCTCGTTCCTCTTTCGGATTCGGAGGGAAAAACCAGGCTAATGGGAAATTTTACTTTCCCGAGAGAATGCTCAATTTAATGCGAGTTTTCACGAGACAACTCTGTCGAACGTTGACAGCTAATGGGACCAAGTATCGGGGTTGCATCGATCAATTATTATCGGCCAAAGTTCTCGAAGCTATTAATACGAGCCGAAAGAACGAATATATTATATATTCTACAGAATCTGCGTAGAATATAATATATTCTGTAGTTGCTGTAGTAACGAGTGGAAATATTGCAATTTATTTTGTCGTGTAAAATCCTAACCTACTTCAAATCG